TCCCTCGTCGTCTCCGCCGAAGTCTCACTGCGTGTCCGAGGACCGCCGCACCTTTGATGAGTAAGTCCACTAAATCCACGGAAGAGGCGATAAAGTTGGGACATAAATTGGATGGTGTTGTGTCCCTGATGGAAAGAAGCTCGTCCATCGTGAAAGTAATCCGAGTAGGGTCGCAGTAAACAGAATTAARTACTAAAAACAAACACAAAAGTGCGCACCAACACACCGAGGCGACGGTTCGTGGCGCCATCTTGGTGGCCCTATGCTTGCTGCTCCACTTACTCATGTTACATAACAGTAGTATGCCCTTTCACAGGATGCATGCTTGCATTCCTTAGTCAACAATTTCAGGTCTGCAGCATGCTTGTGGCTACATATGGATATCTCTCACAACAGCAGTATGACCTCTCGCAAGATTCATGCTTGCATTCTTAAATCGATAATTTTGAGGTCTGCAGCATGCTAGCTGGCATTAGGTTTCCATTGTTTTGGGTTTCTTGCACATGTTCCCTGTTTTATCATGCATGCTGTTTGGCTAATCCAGGAAACATCCAAAGAATGGAGCCATCCATGCCAAGCATAACTGTATTACCATTTGTGCAATAAGTGGTTAAATCATGACATAATCATGATAAGTGTTCCTGACTGAAATGAAGTATTGCATTAGTTCATGCAGGACACAGAATAATTTCTATCAATTTGGTCATTCATTCAGTGGACAACTTTAAAAATGTTGTTCTTGTACTTTCTGTAAACATGGGGAACTATTTTGTGTTTTTTGTGACCTGTTTTGTTTTGTATGAAATATATTGCCACCTGGCCTTGGTGTTTAAGTGTCAACCAGGTCGGGTTTGATTTCATTAGTTTGGGCCTTAATATACTGTGTTTACCTATCAATCTGTGTTTTTTTGATAATTAATCATTTTACCTTTGTTACTGTGAGGCAAACGTAGGTGGCAGCTGATGGTGGATCCTGATGATTGATTATAATGGTGTATCCTAACCGTGGTGGCTGCTGATCGTGGACTATGATCACAACAAGACTGCTTGATATACAATATGTCTACTCAGATACTCTACCATTACTGACAATAATTCCTCGATTCATTTACCTTCTATCATGCTAAAAATTTACACTAACCTATGCTGTAATTACTTTTATTTTTCTGACATTCGACGTTACACGTGCCATCAATTGCACTTCTTTCTGTCCTGGGAGAGGGATCCCTCACATGTGGCTCTCTCTGAGGTTTCTATGTTCTTTTTCCCCTGTCATAAGGTTTTTTGGTAATTTTTCCTTACTCTTGTTGAGGGATAAGGGCAGAGGATGTCACACTTTGTTAAAGCCCTATGAGACAAATTGGGATTTGTGAATATGGGCTATCAAACTGAAATTTGATTGATTGATTGATGAGGTGTTTGAACCATATTTTTTTGTGTTAACAGGAGTCAGAACCACCTGCACCTATACATTTAGTGGATGTACTTTCGCTGAGAGCTTTTTTAAATGAGGTGAATTGTTAGATTATTAGTAACCTAGTGCAGTAGCACACTTATACTGTGTGTAAGGCCTATTGCCATTTGTGTGTTGTTCCTGGTATGGTACTTTGCAAAAAGAGGGTGGAAAATTATTTTTGTCCTAGAGGGGCAGAAGTGCAGCTAGACTGGGCATCTCAGATCAAACCAAGCATATCATTCCTATATCTGCAGCAACCTCAAAAATATCTGTGAAGACCACACTCAATTTAAATCTGAGTTTTAGGGGTATGACATTAGCTTGGGTGGAAATGTTCCTGAGACGGAACCCCAAGACTGAGTCTCCATCCACCCAGTTCACGGCATATCCTCCCAGACCAACCTGACAGAGACATTCTTCCTCAGTCTTCATCCTTCCTCTTCACATCCATTCATCCATCTGCAAAAAATCCAAGTGCTGTGGTCCATGCTAGTGAATTCATCTCTAATGCTCCTGTGCTCCTTTTTCAGTAGTCAGACTTGATCCACTTATAAAAAGTGTCACCTATGTGTTTATCTATCCAAAGATAGATTAAAGAGGTCTTAAAGAGGTGCAAAATACTGCAGAACAAAAACTGAACTTTAATCAATGTCATCTGTCTAGATGTTACCTGTAGGTATCACATGTAAAAGACAGCATGGACATAAACACCTGTACACAGGAATCAAATTAATGAAACTGTTTTAGATGTATCTACATTTCTAAAAACAATGATCTTATGCTACTGTTGCAATATAACTTATTTTACTTTGAAACATGCTGTTTGAGACCCATATTTATTTTGCTGTATTAGTTTTAATCTGTTTAAATGAAAGTTATAATGGATGTCCTCACTTCTGTGATGTGAAATTATCAGGTTTTATGTACATCATATAAAAGGGACAACACATAAAAATGTGCACTTTGCTTTATCTGGTGCAATATTTCAGTGAGTAGAACAGTAACTATAGAGGGCAGATATGCCAGTGTTTATTCATGTCATCATGGCACTTACCGAACTGACGCAGGTCCAGGCAGAGGTTGGCTCCCTCCAGCAAGCTGGTGTTCTGACACATGGACCAAATGTTGAAGTACATGAAGACTGGGAGGCTGGTGAACGCTGTCACGCCCAGCCACACCAGGAAGAACAGGTAGGTCAGGAACATGAGCTGCAAACACATCATCACAGATAATGCAGTGGGGGGATTAGGGGGTCCTTAAGGTAAGGTCCCCACAAGGACTTTTTCCCCCTGTAAATTTTTTTGGGTAGTCTTTCCTTACTCTTGTTGAGGGTTAAGGGCAGATGATGTTGCACCTTGCTATGAAACAAATTGTGATTTGTGAATATGGGCTATGCTAATAAAATTCGATTGATTGATATGATTGATACAGTACACGTAAATCAGTTAAGGTTAGATTTTCTTCAATGGCATGTTATTTAATCAGACATGTCTTTTTTTTATACTTAGGATTACCAGATCATTATGATTGTATATAAAGATGAATGACGTGACAGTTGCCTAAAAGTGAACCCAAAATGTCTAGATTGCCTCCTGGTGGCTGGCTGCAGTATATTTCTGGATATCACCAGACCTGCCCTCTAACCACATCATCTGTCACTGTCATTTACCATGCAACATCTTGCTGTCTATACCCTGCTTAAAAGGATTGATAGATATAAATATCAGTGTATAATATGAAATCTATTAGTTCTGGAGTATTCTTACGAGTGCAGTCAAGCAGCGTCCGCAGGCAGTAATCTTGAACTCTCCATAGAGATCCCTAATTGCTCCAGTGGTGAAAAAACCCTCTACCAGCAACAGGATTCCGAATACAAAGAATCCAGCTGCAAGGCCATAGATGATATACTTCAGGATGTCAATACTGTGGAGAGAACACACACACACATACACGCACACACACACACACACACACACACACATGCACACAAACACACACACACACAGTCTGAGCTCTCACTAAGTATCTATTTAGGCTTACCTGTCTAGAGTAGAGTAGGAGCCAGAGATTTCAGCTATCAAGCTCTTCTCCTGTGGAATCATCTCCTAGGTTCAGTTTGGGAGGCAGACAGCCTCTTTACATTTAAAAGTAGGCTTAAAACCTTCCTTTCTGATAAAGCTGATAGTTAGAGCATTTTCGGGTCTGTCTCGGACCTGCTCTTAGTTATGCTGTTATAGGTCTAGAATGTTGAGGGACACATGACACATGGAGCTTATCTTTCCTTTTCTTCCTCTTTATCACTTTAATGTCTCAAGTCTCATCGAGTGCTTGTGCTTTATTGCTTGTAGATCCAGGATCGCTGCATGCAAGGCCACATCATGGATCGTGATGGTGGATCACAGATTGGGATCATGGACCATATATTATAGATGGCGAATCAGATATCATGATGTTTGATCGTGATCTTGATCGTGATCCTTGTGGCATGATTGTTGATTGTGGTGATTGATCATGATCGTGGTAGCGGCTGATCATGGAGTATGATTACAACAAGACTGCTTGATACAATATACCTACTCACATATTCTACCATTACTGGCAATAACTCCTCGATTTCAACTGTCAATGCTGCTCCCTTCATCTCTATCAGACAGTTTCTTATGTATAAATACTTAATATGGTAAGCATTGACACACCTTTCCTTTATGCTAAGAGCTGTTACTTCCTCTTCTGCATGAATAGCACAGATACATTGTCTTGTCCTAAAACCTAAATCAATCAATCAATCAATCAAATGTATTTATATAGCACGGTATCACAACAAACAGCTGCACAAAAGTCCAAGATCTTAAGAAACACAAAATTCAACTTGTTCCACACCGAGCAAGCATGAGCAACAGTGGGAAGGAAAAACTCCCAGGTGGCAGAACAGGGCTCGGTGTGGACGGCCTCTGCCAGGACCGGTTGGGGTGATGGAGAAATTTCATCAACCCAGCTTTCTCAAATTGTGGTTTGTGAATATGGACTATACAAATACAATTTGATTGATTGATTGATATTTTAATGCGGGACAGCATCCTGAATTATATGAAGTATCTTCAGCCACCATGTGTAACAACCATCAACAGATTAGAGACAATAAGTGAAGCTGGAGGGTGAGCATGGATCTGGGATGGAACATTGAATAAGTCATCAGAACACATTTTGGAACTGGTGGTGGTGCTAATAGAACTTGGCAATTAAGGGAAATCTTATGTTGTCAAATCATTCACATTCATATATTTTTTTTTTTCTAAGCAATGTTGTAAATATTGTAATTTTAATGATGTATTCAGCATCTCTTGCACTTCTGTTTGTCCTGGGAGAGGAATCCCTCACATGTGGCTCTCTCTGAGGTTTCTATGTTTTTTCCCCCTGTTTACAAGAAAGCACTCAGAAATGCCAGAACCTCTTTTTATTCATTATTAATAGAAGAAAATAAGAACAACCCCAGGTTCCTCTTCCCCATGAATAGCACAGATACATTGTCTTGTCCTAAAATCATAGACCCACCTGTAGCACCAGATTTATATTTGAACCATTTCTCTTCTATTGATCTTCCTGAACTGACCTTATTAGTTTAATCATCTAAACCAACAACTTGTCAAATAGACTCTGTCCTAACTCGACTTTTTAAAGAAGCTTTCCCCCTAATTGAAAGTTCCATATTAAATCAGATTAATATGTCTTTGTTAACCGGCTATGTACCACAAGCTTTTAAGGTAGCTTTTATTAAACCTCTGCTTAAAAAGCCTTGATCTTGATCCAGAGGTTTTAGCTAATTATAGACCAATATCAAACCTGCCCTTCATTTCCAAAAGCCTAGAAAAGGTGTTGCTCACCAGCTGTGTGATTACTTAGATAGTAACGTTTTGCTGGGAAAATTTCAGTCAGGATTAAGAATCCATCACAGCACAGAAACAGCACTATTAAAAGTCACTAATGACCTTTTTATGGCATCAGATGATGGACTTGTCTCTATAATCGTCCTATGGGATCTTAGTGCATCATTTGACACCATATATCATAAGATTCTGCTACAGAGACTGGAACAACATGTAGGGATTAAAGGAACAGCTGGTTTAAATCATATTTATCAGATAGATTTCAATTTGTTAACGTCAACAATGACCCCTCCATGCACATGCAATTTAGTCATGGAGTTCCACAAGGTTCTGTCCTTGAACCGATACTCTTCACCTTATATATGCTCCCCTTAGGCAATATCATCAGAAAGCACCAAATATGATGTGTCAGGTCTCCTGTGTTTTTGGTCTTCTTTTATAAAAAGAGAGTTTTCATTTCAATTATGGACTATGTTTGGATTTGAAGTTTTGCTCCCTGTGTCCCTCTCCTATGTCCCTCTCCTGTGTCCCACTCTGTTACTTTCTGTGTCTCTCTCTGTGTCTCTCCCTGTGTCTCTCTCTGTGTCTCTCTCTGTGTCTCTTGCTTCACCCTGTGCTTCACCCCGTGCTTCACCCTGTGCTTCACCCTGTGGTTCATCTCTCTTTCCTGTTTTATTTTGTAGTCTCTGCTCCTTGTGTGTTTTCCCCCTGGACTTCCTGCCCTCATCAGGTTCACCTGTTTGTCGTGTGCCACCTGTCTCTAGTTTCTCATTAGTTCAGCGTGTATTTAAGTCTTTGTGCTTGCCTTGGTCTTTGTCAGTTTGTTGTTGTACTTTAGCGTAACATGTCATCCCTTGTGTTGTTTCACCACTCGTCATTGTTTCTACCTCCTCCAGTAAGTGTCTCCTTGTGTCTCCCCTGTTCTTACTTGAGAGCATTTTTGAGTTTACTGTTGTTTTTGGATTTGGTTATTATACCCATTAAAGGACACCTTTTGTTAAAACCTTTTGTTCTGTCTTCTGGGTCCACCTGCTCCCTTACCCTCTCCCCAAAAAACGTAACAACATACACTTCTATTGTAATGCAGACGACACCCAGCTGTACATTTCTATGAAGCCTGGTGAATCTAATCACTTAGTTCAACTTCAGGAATGTCTCAAGAACATCAAGGCCTGGATGACCCAAAACGTTTTACTTCTAAATTCAGACAAAACTAAGGTTGTTGTAATAATCATCTCAGAGAAACACTGTCTGACCAGATAGTCACCTTGGATGATGTCAGTTTGGCCTCCAGCTCCACTGTGAGTTATGTTCGACCAGGACATATCATTTGACCCCCATATAAAACAAGTATATAGGACAGCTTTCTTCCACCTGCACAATATTAAGAAAAGTAGAAACATCCTGTCTCAGAAGGATGCTGAGAAACTAGTTCACGCATTTGTTACTTCTAGACTAGATTACTGTAATTCTTTATTATTAGGATATCTCAGGACATCTGTAAAAAGACTCCAGTTGGTCCAAAATGCTGTAGCACAAGTGCTGACAGGATGTAGAAGGAGATATCATATTACTCCTGTCTTAGCTTCTCTACAATAGGATCCCTGTGAAATTAACAATAGAATTCAAGATCCTGCTCCTCACATATAAAGCCCTGAACAATCAAGCCCCTTCATATATCAAAGAGCTCATAACACCGTATTATCCAAATAGATCACTTCACTCCTAAAACACAGACTCTCTTGTGGTTCCAAGAGTCTGTAAGAGTAGAACAGGAGGTAGAGCATTCAGCTACCACACACACACACACAAACACACACACTCATTTATTTATTTTAATACATGTGAGTAACTATGTTTCTTTTTTCTCCCATAGTCCCTCTCTCACTTTCTCTCTCTCATTGCAGATATCTCTGACTCCAGAACTGCAGGACAACAACTATTATTATTGTCCTCCCCTTTTTGTTTGCTCACACCAACCGGTCGAGGAAGATGACCGCCCACATTAAGCCTGGTTCTGCTAGAGGTTTCTTCCTGATAATGAGGGAGTTTTTTCCTCTCCAAAGTCGCCAGAGTGCTGCTCATTGTGGGAACTGTTGGGTTTCTCTATATTACATAAGATTTTAAGGTC